GAGGTGGGAGGAGGAGGAGGAGGAGGCGGCGGCGGTGGAGGAGGAGTGGCATTTTTGGCCACTGTTGGACTGGATGGGCCATTGGCCTGACCCAACATGGGCTTCTCTTATGTTCTTATGACATGTCCTGGTGGCCTCCCATCCAAGTACTAACCAGGGATGACCCTGCTTGGCTTCCGAGATCCAAGGAGATCCATTTAGCTTGGGCCATCCAGAACAGGTAGGGTTGCCAGCTCCCCCTATCCACCAGTGGGGGATGGGGTGCCATACGGTTGCGAGTTCCAGGTTAGGAGACTCCCAGATATTTGGGGGCGGAGCCTGGGGAGGACAGGCACCTCGATGGGGCGCAGTGCCAAAGAGTCCCCCCTCCAAAGTAGCCTTTTCCTCCAGGGGAACTGATCTTGGTAGTCTGGTGATGAGCTGTCGTTCCAGAGGATCATAGAGTCACAGAGTTGGAAGGGGCCCTACAGGCCGTCTAGTCTCACCCCCTGCTCAATGCAGGATCAGCCAAGAGCATCCCTGACCAGTGTTTGTCCAGCCGCTGCTTAAAGACTGCCAGGGAGGAGGGGGGCTCACCACCTCCCTAGGCAGCTGATTCCACTGTGGCACAACTCTGTCAAAAAGTTTTTCCTAATATCCAGCTGGTACCTTCCCACCCTTCATTTAAACCCATTATTGAGAGTCCTCTCCTCTGCTGCCAACAGGAACAGCTCCCTGCCCTCTTCTAAGGGACAGCCCTTCAAAGACTTCAAGAGAGCCATCCTGTCCCCCCTCAACCTCCTCTTCTCCAGCTTGAACATTCCCAAGTCCCTCATCCTTTCCTCACAGGGCTTGGTCTCCAGGCCCCCAATCATCCTTGTCATCCTTTTTGAAGTGAGGCCTCCAGAACTGCAGACAAGACTCCAGGTGCGGCCTGACCAACGCATTGTACAGAGGAACTATGACACCTTTCGATTTGGATGTTATGCCTCTGTTGATACACCCCAAGGTTGCATTTAGCCTTTTTTGTTGCCACATCACAGTGGCTGCACATATTTAACTTTCGGTCCACCCCGTACCCCAAGATCTTGTTCACACACACTGCTACCCACCAGGTCCCACCTGGAGGCTGGCATCCCTAGGGAACTAGCAAAATACTAGAGCATTTCTGAGCAACCTGGTAATAAAAGTGCAATAATTAAGGCACGCGAGATGCCTGCAAACTTAACATTCCTCCCATCATTCTATATTTTAAAAATCCCAGTCTGGACATCTTAGCAAAAAAATAAATAAATGTATGTGCCAATTAATGGCAATTCCTTTCATGCCAATTAATGGCAACTTCTTCCTTGTTCAAACATGGTTTCTGAACAGATTTTCCTGTACCTGCTCCGAGAATGGCTCCCCAGAAGATCGCCAGAGCGCCACAGGCCAGCCAAGAGAGCTTCATGCTCGATCCTTTCCCTGGAAAGCTCTTAGTGATGCACGGAACTGCAGCACAGCAAGTTTCTGCCGAATTGCCAGAGTAGATCAAAGCCAACGAGGGCTGCCAGCAACAGAAGGTGCGGTTGGAGATAATGAAACCACCAGTCAATGCTGGCTTACCAAATCAGGGGGGGGAAGCCCCGTTCTTTGAAAACTCTACCGGTGGTTACTGTTACAGCACTTCTTCTTTAAAAAAAATAATAACTTCTGGGCTTGCCTGCTAAAGAGACTGCTGCTATTTCGCCTGCCAGTTTAAAAGACATCATCACATGAAGATGCCTTCTACTGAATCAGACCACGGGTCCACCAAAGTCAGTTTTGTCTACTCAGACTGGCAGTGGATCCCCAAGGTCTCTCAAGCAGAGGTCTTTCCCATCACCGGCTGTTGTTCAGTCGCACAGTCGAGTCCGACTCTTCGTGACCCCATGGACCAGATCCCGCCAGGCCCTCCTGTCTTCCGCCATCCTCTGAAGTTTGCTCAATTTCATGTTCGTTGCATCGATGACACTGTCTAACCATCTCATCCTTCGCCGTCCCCGTCTTCTTTGACCTTCAATCTTTCCCAGCATCAGGGTCTTCTCCAGTGAGTGCTCCCTTCTCATTGGGTGGCCAAAGTATTTGAGCTTCAGTTTCATTATCTGGCCTTCCATCCAGGGAACAGTCAGGGTTGATTTCTTCTAGGATTGACTGATTTGATCTTCTTGCAGTCCAAGGGACATCACCGGCTACCTGATCCTTTTAGCTGGGGATGCCGGGGATTGAACCTAGGGTCTTTTGGATGCCAGGCTGATGCTCTACCACTGAGCCACGGCCTCTCCCCCATTTTTCCTTCAGAAGCACACTGTTGCAGAGAATATTGAGAAGGCAACTGTTCAAATACAGGCTGACTAATTCCCCCCACACACATACACAATTTTGTCCCCCCCCCCAAGTTACTGCTTCCGCAGCTGAACTATGGGTCTCGCTTTCAAATAGAGTTTTACAGATATTGTGGATCGCCAAAAAGACAGAGAAGTACGTTCTAGGCCAAACCAAGCCTCAACTCTCCCTAGAAGCTAAAATGACTAAACTGAGGCTATTGTATTTTGGTCCTATTATGAGAAGACAAGAGTCACTGGAAAAGACAACCATGCTAGGAAAAGTTGAAGGCAGCAGGAAAAGAGGAAGACCCAGGGTTATTTTTGGATAGGAACGCACAGGAACGGCTGGCTCCTGAGTTGGCCACACCCAGCAGGAACTCATTAGCATAATAGGCCACACCCAACAGCATAAACTCATTCGGATTGGCTACATTAGGGGTGTGTGGCCTAACATGCAAAGGAGTTCCTGCTACAAAAAAGCCTTGGGTTTTGACAACAAACAAGGTAAACAGAATAACAAGCAAAAGGTGGGTGTGGCTGGATGACCATGCTTCTGGTAACATGGGGGTGTGGCCTAATATACCAATGTGCTGTGCTGTAAAGGGTGTGGCCTAATATGCTAATGAGTGTCTGCTGTTGGGTGTGGCCTATTATGCTAATGAGTTTCTGCTGGGCTTTTTCTACAAAAAGAGCCCTGGGAAGACCCAACATGAGATGGACGGGCTCCACCAAGGAAGCCACAGCCCTCAGTTTGCAAGACCTGAAGACTGTTAACAATAGGACATTTTGGAGGTCATCAATACAGAGGGTCACCGTGAGGTGGAAGATTTGACGGCACATAACACACACACACACACACACACACACTTACCAAAATTCAAACACAAGAGCCCTCCAGAACTGTGTTGTCTTAAGCTGAGTTTCCGTAAGCTTTTAAAGCCATCAAAATCAATGGCTCTCACCTAAGGTTTCCAATGCAGTTTCTGGGAAGTTCCTGGAGATTTGGGGGCAGTGCCCATGGAGGGGAGAATTTGGGGAGCAATTTCACCTTGAATCTACAGTATACCTTAGAGTCTGTGCCAAGAAGATGCCATTTTCTCCTGCGGAACTGACCTCTCCAGTTTGGGTATCAGTTGCAATTCCAGGAGAACTCCGGGTCCCACCGGGAGGTTAGCTACCCTATCATCACTCAATAAATGACCTTCCTTATTTATCGATTATACTATTACCCACATTTCAACAAAAATGGACTCCAGAAGCAGCACCAGGGGATCGAAGCCTGGCCCAAATAGGGCTGGGAACTCTGCGTTGGGCAGTTCCTGGATATTTTGGAGGTGGAGCCTGGAGAGGGCGGGGTTTGGGAAGGGGAGGGACCTTAGCAGGGCATAATGCCATAGAGTCCACTTTCCAAAGCAGCCATTTCCTCCAGGGGAACTGATCTCTGTAGCCTGGAGATCAATTGTAATTCCGGGAGATCACCAACCACAACCTGGAGGTGAAGGACATAAGGAAGCCATGTTGGATCAGGCCAGTGGCCCACCCAGTCCAACACTCAGTGTCACACAGTGGCCAAAACCCAGGGGCCATCAGGAGGTTCACCAGCGGGGCCAGAACTCCAGAAGCCCCCCCCCACTGTTGCCCCCCAGGCAACAAGAATACAGAGCATCACCGACCCTGACAGAGTGTTCCATCTATAGCAGGGGTGTCAAAGATGCGGCCCAGGGGCCGGATCAGCCCCCCCCCGAGGGCTTCTATCAGGCCCGCAGTGGAACTGGCTGTCTTCTGCTGCTTCTTCCAGTTCTGCTGCTGCTGCGTCATCGTAGGTCTGCAGCTTACAGATACGCACCTGAACAGCATACTCAAAATTGCAACAGCACAGACATTTTGATGGAATAATTCAGAGCAAGAGGTGTCAGTGATCAGACATTGTTAAATAAACAAAATATTGCAAGAGTGCTAATGTTTTAAGCGTGTTTTTATTTTAAGTAAAAAATAACTCCTTTGTGTTTGTGTCCTTTACAAAGTTTATATCTCCACTACCTGGCATTACGTTTTATGACACATATGGCCCGGCCCAACAAGGTCTCTTTTATGTCAGATCCGGCCCGCATAACAAATAAGTTCGACACCCCTGATCTATAGCGTTGGCAACCCTAGACCCAAATGACAACCACAATGCAAAAATCTTTCTTGGGAAGAAATTCTCAGCTGAGATGGATTCGGGAACAGTGGCTAGGAATGAGTCACACTTGTCCCCTTATGTGAGGTACTTCAGTCACCCCTTTTCCCCCGTGCTGGCCGGGCGCAAGCCATCTTCTCACCATCGAGTGTGCAAAAGGCAAGCAGGATATCTTGCTCAAAGGATCCATCAAAGTCTATTTCGCTGTATTTGCATGCAATGGGAGGCCATTGCCTGGAAGAGCCTTGTGTTTTTCTCACGTTCTAAAAACCTACAAAAGTATATTTTGGTCCCGTTCACACGGAGCATTTGTAGCGCTAAAGATACGGATGATAGGTGGATTTTTCGGGCGCGATCACACCGCAACATCTGGGAAGCGTAGTGCACCCGTGGCTAACCCGTGGCTTCTTGCTGAAGATACGGAGTAAAAAACTAATACATACAATGTGCTAGTTTCCGGAAAACACGGGGCAAGGGCGGGCATCTGATCACGTTTCCACTGGAATCCCGTGGCATCCGGTGCCCGGCCACGTCCCGTCGCAAACTGGATGGTGTTTTTTTTTAAAGTCTCCACAGGATACGCACAAACACCCACCGGCACATGTGCATACTGTGGTGAGGGGGAAAAATCCCGTTTTCCACGGAAGCGGCACCTAGCGATTGCCAGTGTGATTGCGCCACACCGTTTCTTTACCGCGCTGCAGGATAGCCATGTGATCGGCACCTAATGGCATACCCACGGGACCTCCATGGGACATGTGATTGGGCTGCCGTGCGTTACTTTGCTCCGGGGCAAACAGCCATTCTCCCCCCCTCCGCGCGCATTTTCCGGCCCGTGTGACCGGGACCTTGGTAATATGTGAAACAGCCGTGCGTTATGGTCTGATCTGGCAGCCCTTTCTAATTAGCTACATGTACAGTCCAATCCTAAACAGAGTTACCAACTTTCTAAGCCCGTTGGTTTCAATAGACTTTTAGAATGGTTAACTCTGCTTAAAAGGAAAAGGTAAAGGTTCCCTTGCTCAAAAGCCAGTCGAATCTGACTCTAGGGTTGCGGTGCTCATCTCCGTTTCAAAGCCGAAGAGCCAGCGCTGTCCGAAGACGTTTCCGTGGTCATGTGACCAGCATCACTAAACACCAAGGCGCACGGAACACTGTTACCTTCCCACCGAAGTGGTACCTATTTATCTACTTGCGATTTATTGCTTTCGAACTGCTAGGTTGGCAGGAGCTGGAACTAGAGACGGGAGCTCACTCTGTCACGCGGCACACTCGGGTCTCGAACTGCTGAACTACTGACCTTCCACAGCCTGCAGTTCAGCGTCTTAACCACTTGAGCCACTGCAGCTCCTTAACTCTGCTTAGGACTGTGTGATTAATGGTGTTTCCCTGATGTTTTAAAATCTGCAGGTACCATCACTGTAGGGATTCCCAGACCCCCAAACGGTGCCCTCCCCAGGCTGCACTCCCAGATCTCCAAGAATTCCCCAGCCCCGGCAGTCTGTTTTTGAAAAGAGCAACAGTCCAACAGCAAAGACTAACAAAATTTGTGGCAGGGGATGAGCTTTCGTGAGTCACTGCTCACTTCTTCAGATGAGGTGCCCCTGGACTCTTGCTCTTTTCTACTGCTACAGACGGACTAACACTGCTACCCATCCTAGTCTGTTTCTCTTCTTTTCATTCTCACTTCTTTTGGTAGTTCAATTATGTTCTTGCTCAGGTGCACGTAAGACCCCGTTCAGTCAGCTAAACCCCCTTGCCTGAGAGAGTCCGATTTGCTCTTTTACCGGTTGTACCTAGAAGTCAGTTGTCGATGGGTGTGGGTGTCTTCAGCTTTTAGGAACATAATTAAAAATAAACTCCTTTTGACCACAGAGTTTCTTCTTCGGGGGGGGGGGGGGAAGGACTGGTTTCAGTCACAGTTTTCTGTTACCTAGTAGGCACTTAAAAAAAAAACACCAGGTGTGTGTGTGTTGGGGGGAGGGAATCAGAAACAGAAAAAATCAAGCAAAATAAAGAGATCCATCGCCATGAGAGAAACCATA